GGTGGTGGAGAATGGGCACTGTTGAAGGTACGGGTGTTTCATTGTATGACCGAGACTTAGACCTGAAAGCTTTGTAATTGCTCTCACGGTGATTCAATAAATGAAATTATAAAAAATGAAAAAAAAGGAAGGTGGAGTTCATGCACAATTCAATCAGCTAATCAGTGGCTGAATAAATAGCAGTACTCCTACATAAAAAAAAAAAGTGAAGAGAAGGATATTGCTGGAGTGATAGCACAGCGGGTAGGGCATTTGCCTTGCACATGGCCAACCTAGGTTCAATTCCATCCCTCTCAGAGAGCCTGGCAAGCTACCGAGAGTATCCCATCCGCACAGCAGAGTCTGGCAAGCTCCCCGTGGCATATTCAATATGCCAAAAACAGTAACAACAAGTCTCACGATGGAGATGTTATTGGTGCCCGCTCAAATCAATGAACAATGGGATGACAGTGCTACGGTACAGAAGAGAAGGAATGGATGAGCTTTCCACACAAAGACAAAGTCCTCTCTCTCTCTTTCTCTCTCTCTCTCTCTCTCTCTCTCTCTCTCTCTCTCTCTCTCTCTCTCTCTCTCTCTCCCTCCCCCTCTCTGGGTAATATGTAGTTCCAGGAATCATGCGGTGCTAGGCATCAAACCCGGGGCTCTCACATGCTTTGCCTGCTAAGCTCTCTCCAACCCTTGCATGATTTTCTTTAGCAACACTTAAGCCCTTGTGTTTGGAGCATGTGAATTTGGTATATCCCATCTTTCCCTATGTTGAAGTATAAGGTAAATGATCACACAGACACAGACTTACAATAATTAGAGGTTTATAAAGGTCCTCCTGGGGTTCCTCAGCAGAATGGCTTTGGACAACCAGACATTAACACAGCACATAGTGACTTTCTCATCTTCTCTACGTGAACTGACTTACGATTTCTCCTTTTGATTTTTTGGACCTCTCCCAGCTTACTCCTGGCTCTGTACTCAGGACTCACTCCTGGAGGTGCTCAGGGGACCATATGGGATGCTGGGGATCGAACCAGGGTGAGCCACATGCAAGGCAAGCACCGTCCCTGATGTACTATCTCTCCAGCCCACACTTTCTTCTCTTAAGCAGAAACACCTCCATATCATGAGTGATAGGCACCCCATGGAATGTTCTTCCTCTTCTCCAGGTCAGTGGGATCTGGATCTGGGCATGGGGCACCAGCCATTGTCCACATATACTAACAAAGACTAACATAAGGCCACCAGCGAGGAAAAGATGAGACACTGTCCAGACAACTTGATGGTTCACCAGTGCTTTGCCGTCCTTGATACTCCTCACTGGCCCCCCTGCTCTGTACGTTTCATGCATTTAGAGAAGAAAGGAATGAGCAGGAGGGTTAAGACTTTGGCTCATGAATCTCCTGTAGGATGAGTCTCAACTGTGCGTGACCATCCCAGTGTGCCATATGCCATGTGCCGTGAAACAGAAAATTCTGCCAGGCACACCAACCACTATCCAATGCGGTCACCCTAAAAGTCCCCTGAAGTGCCACGAAGGTTGGGGTTCTCCATAGTCACAAACTACACCAATTTACACCTAGAGACACACAACACACACAGCCATCACTCTCTGGGTGTGAGTTCAAGGCCTGTGGCACGGACAGGGACTCAACCTCTGGCCTCGAAGGAGTGTTTGTGTGGTTCTTTCAACACGCCTCTGTGAGAACACAGCCTCGTTGGGCTTCTTCAGAGCAAACACGAATGTTCTGGCTCATTTTCCCTGCCTACCTCACACATGCTTCTGAGGTTCCCCCCACATGTGTCTAGTTACCAATTGCAACCACCCTTAATAATAACTAGGAATAAACCTGCTGAATGCAAAGGGCATTGAAAATGCTGTAGATGCTCCTTTCCACAGTTGCGGCTGTTAGCCCGGATGCATGACAGCCCCACAGGGATCGCCCACAGTTGGTCTGGGTCCCGAGGGGATGCAGGACGATGCTTTACAGGACCACTGGGCATCTGGTCCTCTGAGTCCAGCAGAAACAAGAACAAATCCAGGTACTTCAGCGGTTCTGGCTCCTCTGCAGAGTTGGGTGAGTCTCTGAAATCTCCAGGTGGTGCCTCAGCTGCATCCAAATCCCTGCTGCCGCCCCGGTGACCTTCCATGCTGTACCACTTCAGGGCTCCAGACTCAGTATGGACCCCAGGAATAACACAGGAAGGTAGAGCACGTGCCTGCTATGGCTGCCAGCTCAAACCCCAGACTTCCGGTGTCCCTCCAATGACACGCAAGAGGGGGTGACAGGCTCCTTTTGGTCCAGGTTCACACTGCCCTTTATGCCACGGGCCCAAGGGCCACTCAGGGATTTGCTGAGACGCAACAAAGATGATGGATTTCCCGTGGCATCAAGAATAGACTTCTGGGGCCAAAGCGAGAGCTCAGTGGGTTGGGTGCCTGCTCAGAATGCTGGAAGCCTGGCTCAGGTCCCAACACTGCATGATTCCCCCACCTGACGACAACCCCACACACACACACAAAACACAGAGCAGCGAGTCGCCTTTAGCAGCACACTGCCAGTTGTGGCCCCAAAACCAACAGGAAGAGAGAATAGACTTTGGTTCATGCTCCTCCCCTTGGCTCACTGTTCCAGGCAGTCTGGCTGTGTGACAGCAGAGCGAGGCAGTCCACGGGGCAGAGAAGTCTGATGTGACGAGAGGCCCTGCGATGAATTCTATGTGGGCATGAGGCGAGAAATGCCACCAGATGCCCAGTGGATGGGTCCAAGGTTCACCCCAGTCGCTGCCCCCCTCAGTCCCCTCTCCTGCGAAGGAGTGGAGGTAGCCCCCGTTCCTGTCATAGCTGATGTCTCTCACTGTGCTTCCCACCCCTTTTCTCATGGGGCAGGAATCACTGGGGTAGGAGGTAGAGCTCTACAAGGGATTAAAACACAGCCGGGTCCCCCCCTGAGCACTGCTGGGAATTACCCCCAACAATAATGAAGAGAACTGTAAGAAACCAAAGATACCAGAACCGAAAGCACCCCAACTGACCCCAGCTTTGCCTCAGATTATCTGGCTCTAGAAAAAAAATTTCTTTCTCCTGTGACATCCATCTATATTTATTATTTTTATTTTTGCATTTTGGGTCACACTCAGTGATGCACAGGGGTTACTCCTTGGCTCTGTACTCAGGAATTACTTCTGATGTTGCTCAGAGGACCATATGGGATGCTGGGAATCGAACCCGGGTATGCCGCATGCAAGAGAAACACCCTACCCGCTATGCTATCACTCCAGCCCTGACATCCATCTATAAAACGGCATTCAAACCACATTCTCTGGAGCTGCCTGAAACTGGAGGGGGTTCCAATGCCCCCTGAAAGGTTGCAGTAGAAAGGGAAGCTGACCCATCTTCGGAAGTGCATTTTTAAAAAATCTGTTTTATATACTGTGTTTTCATATAAGAATTCTTTGGAGAAAGGTCCTGAGGCTACGACGTTTGCAAACTTCTAGAACAGACAATGGTGAAAGTGACTTCCAGTGGGAGAGACTAGTACTTTGGAACGCCAGGGCAAGTCATCCTCCTCCAGGAAGCCTTCCCGGTTACCCAGTTGCAGGTCCTTGAGCTCCAAGCCACAGGGAGGTGACAGGCATAAGCATAAGGCCCTCAGCACACCCTCCACAGTGCCAGCATCACCCACACTGCCTGTGGGCAGTGTGAGCCATTTGCCCAGCAAGAGGTCAGCTCCTGGACTCAGAATTTGGTCCCGCCCCCACCCCTCTACCCTTTCCCTTACAATGCCCCTCAAGCAGGTATTCAGCAACCTATCCCAAGGGTCATGAATTCTCCCTTCCCTGGGATAGAACTTTCCAGAGACTCTCTGAGGAGGTCTGTCTTTTGGCCTGTGTCTTAAGAGAGAGGCGTCCTGGGGAGCAGCTCCACTCCCACTCCCCCAGTCCCTCTTTCACTGAGCTCCTCCTCCCACAAGGTCAACCCCTACTGTCCACGGTCCTCTTCCGGCCTTGGCCCTGACCCCACACTGGGGAATCCTTCGGCCAGGCTTGGAGGGGGGCACAACTGTCTCTGGAGATAGAAGCCTGAAGGGAGGGGAGTGGACACTCAGACACCAGCGGGAGGTACCGAGGGGAGGGCTCCCTGCCCGCTCTAGGGGTCAGCATCCTTGAGGCTGAGGCAGAAGCCAGAAGAGTGGACGCTGAGTGGTGAGTGAGTGAGGGAGCTTGCTTGGCCATTTCCAGCTCCGTGACTTGGCCTAAATCACGGAGCTGCACTGAGGCTCCACATCTCTGCCTGTAAATTGGGGTCCAAAGGACCTGGCTAACTGCCAGTTACCCTACAGTGAAGTAGCCAGAACCAAGGAGATGGGGGTGGGCGTCCTGTGAAGGGGACGTGCAGGCATATGAAGGGCTCAGAGGGGACAGTGTCAGAGTCTGCTCCCCAGGGGCGTGCTTGTGGCTGACCCGTACCCTCTCATCCCAGTTCTGAATTTCTGGGGAGTATGGGAGTGAGGTTGTGGTTGGGGGTGGGATGAGGGAGAGAAGAGCTGGGAGGGCAGTTGAGGCTTGTGGGCCCAATTCTGGGCCAGAAAAGCTCCCGAAAGAAAAATCACCTGATAAAGGCCCCTCCACAATGTGTGAGGCCCGGGCTGCTGCGAAGGTTTCCGAGTGTTGGGAGTGGTCTACAAGGTACCCCGGCATGGCCCCAGGAAGTGGATTCTTGCATCTCACTGACTCATGTGCCTTTTGGGAAGGGGGACCAGGTCAGCCTTTCCTGCCTCCCCTGCAGAGATGGACACCAGGAGGGTGGTCACAAGGGTCACAAGGGTCACTTGAGGTTCCCCTCTAAAGACTGTCTCCATCAAATCCCCAGATGTGGGGGTTAAGCAGCAGCCAGGATCCCATCGGGGTGTCTGCAACTCCACAACCATGGCCAAAGGGGAGCCAGCTCCAGGCTGCCTGGGGATAGTGCCAGGGTCCAAGGCGCCAAGCCCCGCCTGCTGTCTCTGTGTGGCCCTGCCCAGCCCTGGGGTTCCCTCAGCTACTGTAGCCTGAAGTGTGTGTGCTGGGCCGGCGCAGCCAGACATCAGGCAGGTCGGGCTGGCTGTTGGGCAGCACCACAGGGCTGCCGTCCCCCGGGCCCCCACGGCCTTTCCAGGACGTGCTGCTCTGGTGGGCGGTGGCCAGCGACGGGTCATACACAGTCTCCTTCAGCGCCAGCCATAGCGTGTCCCGCTTGCTGTTCAGCTGGCCCCGCTCCAGGACCGTCTGCTCAGTGTCGTCCAGGTCCTCCGGCGAGGCCCCCACTGAGTCAGGCACGCGGGCGCTGGGCTCCGAGGTGCTGAGGCAGGTCTCGTCTGAGACGCTGAGCCCCTCCAGGGTGCTGGCCGAGGAGCAGAGGCCATCCGGCGGCTCGACGGCCTTGGGTGGCGGAGACGCGCGGGCGGGCGCTCGGGGGGAGACGTGCATGGCCTTGACCCTCTGGGCCTGGGAGTCCAGCCTGAGCCGGGTACGGGGGCTGGGGCCCACCTGCTTATAGGGGGAGGAAGTCTGCAGGGCCGGGCACTGGCTGAACACGGCCTGGTGGTCCAGGAAGAGCTCCCTGGGGGACGCTGGGCCCAGGGGGGGCCGAGGGCAGCAGGGCCCGTCATGCAGCTGCAGATCCTCAGAGAGCACCGAGGGCCGGTGGGAGAGTTTGCTGGTGGCAGTGCTGGTGTCAAAGCTGGGGCTCCGGCGCCGGGCCAGGGGCTGCAGCTCGTACTGCTCCGAGCAGGTCCCAGGGGCCCCTCCTGCTGGTCCTGGGCGAGGGCGGCTGGCCTTCTCCCCACCCGGCTCCCCGGCCCCAGCGTCCCACGGCAGGTGGGCACACGGCCAGAGAATCTGCCCGCAGTTCTTCTCGGGACCGAAGAAACAGCAGAGGGACTGGAAGAAGAAGCTGGCAAAGCCACAGCTGACGCACTTGACCATCATGAGCGCAATGCCCAGCTTGCGGTATAGCAACACCGTGGCGGGCAGCATGAGCACCCCAGCGGCAAACAGCGCCGCCGCCCCCACCGCCGTGGCACAGCTGGTCTGGCGCAGGGAGAAGGCCACGCGACTCAGGCGGTCGGGATGCGGGCACAGGTGGTAGGAGATGCAGTAGTTGACAGTGAAGTCCACCGAGAGGCCCACGGAGGCTGAGAGAAAGAGGGCCTCGGCCGTGTTGAGCTGCCACTCCAGGAGAACCAGAAGTCCCACCGTGAGCAGGACCGTGCCCGCCACAGCCGCCACGGAGAAGAGGCTGAGCGGCACATTCCAGGTGCCCAGCAGCAGGGTGGCGAAGGCCAGCGCCAGGGCCAGGCCCAGGACCACGGCGGGCTCGGTGCTCAGGCTGTGCTGCAGGCTGTACAGCTCCAGGCGGCTGGTGAACCAGCCTCCGCCCAGGCCCGGCGGGGCCCTGCTCAGCTCTGCGGCCAGCCAGCGGCTGACCTCGCCGTAGAATCGGTGCGCCTGGCTGTAGTCTGCACTGTACAGGAAGTTGGTCTGGAACTGCAGGACCAGGGCGGCCAGGTTGCCCTGGGAACCGAAGCGGGGCCCCAGGTCCCTGGAGCTGGAGGGACCTTGCTCCAAAGCCATCATTTTGAGGCAGTGCAGGAACAGCTGCGGCGCCCAAGGGAAGTCCGAGCGGCCACAGCAGAGGCCGGGCCCCAGGCGGGCGCACGCGGGGCTGTCCATCCAGCGCTGCAGGGCCTCCACAAAACACAGCGTGGCCGGGCCCTCCAGCTGGGCCCCGAAGAAACTCTGGTTCCGGGCTCCCTGGCACAGCGCCAACAGCCAGCGCTGCGCCTCGGGCGCGCCGAGCGAGAAGGCCGGGTCACTCACCAGGGAGGTGTTGCTGCGGGGGTCCAGGGGGTCTCCCGTGTCCACGGGCAGGATGCCCCACACCAGAACCACGGGCATGTGGCCGCCCTCGCCCTGGGGCAGCCGCTCGAACAGGAACTGCTGGCGGTACTCGGCGTCGAAGCGCTCGAAGGGGTGGCTGGGCCGGAAGACCTGGCCGCGGGGCGGGGGCAGCGTGGGCAGCCGCAGGCGGGGGCTGACGCCCGCGATGTAGGCACCCCCCGCCGCCAGCGCGGCGAACCAGCACACCCAGATGTAGCGGAACTTGATGACGCCGCACGGCAGCAGGCGCTGGAAGAGCAGGCGGGACGTGCCGGCCGCCGCCCGCCGCAGCCCGCGCAGCCGCCGCGCCAGCGCCAGCGCCAGCCGCCGGGGGGCGCTGCCCCGCCACGCGCCCGCCCGGGCGCAGCCGCCGGCCAGGTAGCGCTCGTGCAGCACGGCGGCCGCGGGCAGCCAGGCCAGCGTGAGCGCCAGGTGCGCCAGCACGGCCGTGCCCATGTAGAGCGCGAAGCAGCGCACGGCCGGCAGGCGGCTCAGGTAGCTGGCGTAGAAGGCGGCGCCCGTGGTGAGCCCCGACACCAGCAGCAGGTAGCCGAAGTGGTGCATGGTGCGCGCCACGCGCTGCGCCAGGCCCCCCGAGGGCAGCTGGCTCTTGCTCAGGCGCCACAGGTCGAAGAAGACCAGGGTGTGGTTGGCGCTCACGCCGCTGAGCAGGACCAGCGCCGCCAGGTTGACGAAGGGGAAGTAGGCCAGGCGGAAGGCCACGTGGTAGAGGAAGAAGGCCACCAGCAGGGCCCCCAGCACCCCCAGCAGCACCACGAGCGTGAGGAAGAGCGAGCGCAGGTAGAGCGCCAGGCTGAGGAAGACGGCCGCCAGGGCCAGCAAGGGGTACACCGTGTCCTGGGACAGGTAATGCCGGAGCAGCTCCTGCTTGAGGCCCAGGTCCATGCCGGTGATGGACGTGTAGTTGTCGGAGAGCTCCCAGGGCGCGGCCAGGCGGTCCAGGTAGATGGCCATCATGGAGGGCCCCTTGGGGGTGGGCAGGAAAAGCAGGCTGTACTGGAGGGAGGGCACCTGGTAGTCGGCCGTCTGGGGACTCAGAAAGTCCCTGTCCAGCAGAAAGTGCAGGAGCTGGTAGACGGCGCTACTCCGGGAGCACTTGGTGGGCAGCTGGGCACAGCGTGGGGGCTTGTCCTGCCCGGGCCCCAGGCACAAGGGCGTCAGGAGGCCCCGGTGGTAGTAGAGGGCGCAGGCCCGCAGCAGGGCCAGCGTGCGGGCGGCGTCGCCTTCGGTGGTCTCCAAGCAGGAGGAGCGGTTGGAGAGCACGGCCACGTAGTTGCCCAGGGACCAGCTGGGGCAGCACTGGTTGGCTGCTGTCCGCTGGCACAGGGCCCCGAAGTGGGCGTGAGAGCGGATCTGCAAGGCACAGACATGGCAGGAGAGCACTCAGGGGCCAAGCAGGGGCCCAGGTTTCCAGAACCCACCCAAAGCTCCCCGCACTCTCCTTTCCAGACACCTTGTGGTGCCTGGGGGGTTCATGCAGGGCAACCCCGGCCTCCCACCTGCAAAGGCATTCACTCAGCCCTCTGGACTCTCTCCTGGATGCTCAGGGGCAGATCTTTGACCTAAGGCTAAACCACGTGCATCAGAGCTGTCTTTGGCTCCCAGTCCCTGTAACAGCAGCTACATCCTGGCTCCTACAAAGAGGGGCTGAAAGGATACTGCCCATGGCCTCCGCCTGAGACTCCCTGCCCCTGAGCCCACACAGCCAGGAACAGGAGTGGAGGTGGGGGCAGAAGGGTCCAGGGAGGGGCTGGAGCAATAGTACAGCGGGTAGGGCATTTGTCTTACACGTGGCTGACCCAGGTTCGATCCCCGGCATCCCATATGGTCCCCTGAGCACAGCCAGGAGTAACCCCTGTGCATTGTCGGGTGTGACCCCCCCAGAAAAAAAGAAAGGTCCAGGGAATCCAAAGCAAGCAGTGGAAGGAGCGGAAGCCCAAAGCTCTACATCTGCCACTGTTATAAATAAATTTATTTATTTATAAATAAACACTGCCACACCTGGCAGTGTTCAGGGCTCATGCCTGACTCTTTGCTCAGGAATCACTCCTGGCAGCGCTCAAGGGACCATAGGTTGTGCTAGGAATTGAACCCAGGTCAGCACCGTATAAGGCAAGTGCCCTCCTCACCGTACTATTGTTCCAGCCCCAACTCTGGGCAACTCTGTGTTTTTCTTGTTTTTTTTGTTTTTGTTTTTGTTTTTCGTTTTGGGTCACACCAGGTTACTCCTGGCTTTGTACTGAGGAATCACTCCTGGCGGTGCTCAGGGGACCATATGGGATGCTGGGAAACGAACCCAGGTCAACTGCATGCAAGGCTAATGCCCTACCACTGTGCTATCACTCCAGCCTCTCTGGTGTGTTTAAACTCACTTTTTGTTTTTGATCACACTCAACCATGCTCAGGTCTCACTTCTGGTAGTGCTCAGGGAACCATATTTGATCCTGGGAATCAAGCCAGGGGCAGCTGCATGCAAGGCAAGTGTGCTACCCACTGTGCTATCTCTCTGGGCCCTGATTAGTCTCACTTATGTCTGAGGCCAAGCAACAGTAAAGGGCTGGAGGGCTTTGCTCTCTGGGAGGTTCATGTTTGATTCCTGACGCTGCAGCACTGCCAGAACAACCCCCAAGCACCTGCCAAGTGTTACCCCTAAAGCCCAAACCCAAACCAATCCATTTATGGCTGTTCCTTTCCTTCCCCACCCTGCGGCAGACAGCATGCAGGTTGCACGCTGGCCTGGCAATCAGAAGTTTTGTTCTGCTGGGTGATGTATGGCCCTGGGCCTGAGGTCATGGAGACAGTGGGAGTGTCTATTGAGATGTCTATCACCAGCTATTTGGTTGTATTTTTTATTGACTTTATCTTGATTAATCATCACAACATCCCATTTGATGGCATCATCATAGTCCACATTTTTAAAATTTATTTATTTATTTATTTTGCATTTTGGGTCACACCCGGTGATGCACGGAGGTTACTCCTGGCTCTACACTCAGGAATTACTCCTGGTGGTGCTTGGGGGACCATATGGGATGCTGGGAATCGAACCCAGGTCGGCCACATGCAAATCAAACGCTCTCCCAACTGTGCTATCGCTCTAGCACACATTTTATTTTAAAATTAATTTATTTGAGGTGAGAGGATTGGGCCTCTAGTGGTGCTCAGAAGCTATTCCTGGCTGTGATCAGGAATCATTCCTGGCAGTGCTCAGGGGGACCATAGAGGATGCCAGGGATTGAAAGAAGGTTGACTGCATGCAAGCCAAACACCCTACCGACTATACCATCACTCCAGCACCTTGGGCCCAAATTTTAGACACACGGGTATATGCCTGAAGTCACATAGCTTGGGAGGATTCGGTCTGATCTTAGAGCAGGCAGCGATAACTAGCATGTAGAGGACTCAGATACCGTGTGTGTGTGTGTGTGAGAGAGAGAGAGAGGGGGGAGGGGTGTATTCACAACCTACTTTCCTTCAGAGGCTCCTGAGTGTGATTCTCCAGTGAGCAAAACTGGATTGAGGCTCTATTAACCCTTTGGGGCTCCTTTGCAGGACCCTTTGAATCCTACCTCTCTCTCTCTCTCTCTCTCTTTCTCTCTCCCACCCCCCACCCCCAGACCTGCCATGTCTGCACAGCAACTGTTCTGTGAGCAGCAGTCCTTCTCTCCCCACCTCACACCCAGGCCTCTGCAGGGAGGCAGCCGTGTCCGGGGCAGGGTCTGCGCTCCCGTGGCCCAGTGCCAGCCACTTCCCAGCAGGATCAGGCCCCTGTGGCCCTGGCCCTCCCCGCCCGCCGCCTCACCTGTTCCTGCTCCATGCGGCACATGGAGTGCATGGCGTGCAGGTTCCACAGGCTGCCCGCCGACGTGGACATGAACACCAGCTGTGCATAGCTCTTCTCTGCAACACACCCGTGGAGCTTAGGCCTCCGGGCCTGGCTTCTGGGCCCTCCCCCAAGGGAAGATGCTCACCCAGGGCAGTATGAGGTCAAGCCTCTCAGGAGCCTGACACCTGGGCCTGCCCCCTCTGTTCGGTCCCACCCCGACCCAGCTTCCACCCCCATGGCTGATGCCCCTGACACCTGTCACCTCCCACAGGGGTGACCCAACATCCTTGGAGGCCCCCAGCCCACATCCCTCCCTTCCTGTCTGCCAACATTTGTCCCCTCCTGTTCTGGTGGATGGGCTGGGGACCACCATTAAGGTTGGGGAGCAGCCAGGCTGCAGCTTACCAGGGGGGCCACAGAAGAAACTGTCTTGTCCTCTGCCCTCCTGGGGTGCCACCATCCTCCGAGGCCGGACCAGGCCCTCCTGAGTGCTGCCCCCGGCAGTTGGACTCAGGGTGCTGTGGAGGTCTGAGCTGAGGAAGGAAGAAAATCTGTACTAGGCGCCATCCGGGCTAAGGGCTGCCTCAGAGGAGGCCAGAGGCCCGTCGTGAGGAGCCCCAGCAAGCACCACTGACCCACCTCAGGTGAGAGAACTTCACAGCTGGGGGCGGGGGGGGGGGGAGAAAATGTCTCTCAAGCAGTGCTCAGGGGGCCCCAAGAGCCTCTCTCAGCAGACAACTAGACGGGAAGTTCAGAGTGAGGCCCAAGGATGCTGGGGATTGCCCAGATCACCCCAGCCGTGCTTGGGGGGCATTCAGGGCTGTACCTGGCAGTGCTCAAAGGACCACATAAGGAGCCGGAGATTGGAACCAGGATCAGCCGTGTCAAGGCAAGTGTCCTACCCCCCTCCTCCCTAGCCCCTGAACAACCTCATTCTGCCCCCCACCCCCCAGTCCCGTTACCTATTTAGCATCAAGTCTGGAGAAAGGGACAGCAGCTTCCCAGGGCCTGTGAGGGCCTGCAGGGCTCTCCAGACAATGAGCTTGCGGCCAATGTCTGTATCCCGAGGCTCAAAACCCTGCAGGGAGAGGGCAGGAGGGAGCAGGCAGACACAGACGCCCCCCAGCCTGCAGGGCAGGGGCCCTCTGAGCATCTCCCTGACTGTCCCTGAAGGCAGGAGCCCACCTCCACCCCCTGCTGACTCTCTTTCCAGCTCCCCGCCCCAGACTGAGCTGAGCACCAGGCCTGGGGGAACCCTCCCACCCAGGCCCCTCACCATCAAGGGCTTGGAAAAGTCTGGCAGCTGGCCGGCCAGCAGTCCCGCCAGTGTGCAGAGGAGGATGAATGTCAGACACAGCAACAGCACCACCCCTGGCCACTCGGCGATCAGCTGGGAGTAGCTGCGGAGAGGAAGGAGACCCCTGAACCGAGGTGGCCAAGACGGAGCCACCAAGAAGGGGTGGTGAGGCAGAAACAGGCCACGGACGGACCTGGCCACCCCTGGGGGTCCACAGAAGGCCCAGGCCTACCTCTTTGGCATCCGGAAGGTGCGTTCCTGCCTGGGAAGAAAAGAGACACTTGCTTGGCAGAGTCCTCATTGGCAGTTGCAGGGTGGGCGGAAACGGGATGACCTGGGTGTTCCCGCGCCCGCACCCCAACCCTCACTCCTCTCCCCTCCTGGCTGCCTCCTTCTTCAGAAGCAGCTGTCTCAGGCACCTCCTGATGGAAGTCTAGTGCCCTGAGAGTCAGCCTCATTTGGGAGGGGTGTCTCTTAAGCATGTTCTAAGGGTCTTGGGGCTACTCCCAGTAATACTATGCATGATGGTCTTTGGACCTCATGGTGCTGGGGCAAGAGGGGCCACATCCCATGGTGTTCATGGGGCCACTGGTGCCAGGGAGCTAGCTTGAGGCTTCAAGTGTGTAAAGCCCTGCAGTCCAGAATTGGCACTATCTCCCCAGCTCCTTTTTGGGTCATATCCGGTGATGCACAGGGGTCACTCCTGGCTCTGCCATCAGTAATTATTCCTCGCGGCACTCTGGGGACCGTTTGTGATGCTGGAAATTGAACCCAGGTTGGCCTCATGCAAGGCAAACACCCTACCTGCTGTGCTATTGCTACAGCCCCTCTCCCCAGCTCCTTGACCCCTCTATCTCTCTGGCCCGCTTACCCAACTTTTTTTTTTTTTTAAGTTTTTGAGTTACACCAGTGATGCTTAGTGGTCACTCCTGGTTTGTGCAGTCAGGAATTGCTTCTGGCAGTGCTCGGGGTTGGGGGACCCTATGGGATGCTGGGGATCAAACCCGGGTTGGGCACATACAAGGAAAGTGTCTCCTCCACTGAACTATCTCTCCAGCCCTCACCCCCCTTTTTTTTTTTTTTTGCTTTTTGGATCACACCTGGCGATACACAGGGGTTACTCCTGGCTCTTCACTCAGAAAATACTCCTGGGCCGTGCTTGGGGAACCATATGGGATGCTGGGAATCGAATCTGGGTCGGTCCCGTGCAAGGCAAACGCCCTACCCGCTGTGCTATCTCTCCAGCCCTCACCCCACTTTTAAGCACAGCTCTGCTTCCCTCCTGGCCGGCTGTGGACCCCTCTCACCTGACGCTGACCACATGGTGCTGTGCAGAGGGCGGCTTCCAGGCCCCATCGCGCTGAGACGGCGCTGGAGAAGGGCTGAGGCTGGAGCCATGGGTGCACAGAGCCGCCCGGTCCCCAAGCCCCGGAAGGGAACTGCCTCCCCGGTATTCCTGAGGTGCCCGGGGAAAAGAGAACTGGGTAGGGGCCAAGGGGCTGGACTGGCCCACAGGCTGGAGGTTGGGAGCTGCTGGTGGGGCTGCTGAAGAGCTGGAGGGGTCCTCCAGGGGGCAGCTTTGGAGGGAGCAGCTTCTCTCTGGGCTCCCCTCGGAGGCCGCAGCTTTGCTCTGGGACCTGCAGGGGGAGAGAGGCATGGAAGGAAGACTCAGTGGGGACAGGGAGGCTCATGGGTCTAGCATCACCCGGTAAATCGGGCCCAGGAAAGGGCACTCAGGGTTCTGTTGCTCTCTTGGTACTACCCAATGACTGGTGGCAGAGGAAGAAGGTGACAAGGGTGGGGGGCCTGAGTCTGTGGCTTTAAAGTGCCCTTCTGGGTCCTTTGTCACACATACCTTTCTGTGCTGAACCCCAATAGACACCACCCCTTCAAATACTTGTATACACATGACCTTTTTTTTTTTTCCTTTTTTCATTTTTGAGATGCTCAGGGCTGCACTGCACTCATTCCTGGCTCTGCACTCAGGAATCACCCATGGTGGTGCTCGGGGGACCATACAGGACACCAGAGATGGAACCCAGGCTAGCTATGTGCAAGGAAAGTGCCCGACTCACAGTACTATTGCTCTGGCCACATATGACCTTTTTTTTTGCTGCTTCCAAACACGCTGCCAGGGAATTGGATGGGGAGGGACCATGGAGGTCACTGCTGGTGGGTGACAGACATGGACCACAGCTGTCAGGAGGATGGGAGTCACAGAGGAAACAGCCCAGTGGGGTGTCCAGCTTTGACAAGGTCAGGGAGCAGTCAGGGACCCTGGGCAAAGGCGCTACTGACCCGCAGAGCCTAGGGCAGAGCCTGGCTTGGCAGGGTCCACCTGGTTGGAGAGTAAGTTGGGACCCACAAGGAACTTGCCAAGTTGGAGCCAACATCGGTTTCTGGAATTCTGGAATCTATCATTTAGGCATTTCTGTGTGTGGAGCCTTACTGCAAGTGCGGGGGGAGGTGGCAGGATACCAGACCCAGGACAGGTAAGGATGGCCAAAGACAGGGTGCCCGAGGGCTGTGGGAGGTGTCACTGGGTGCCAGGCTGTGCGTCCTTGGCAGAGCACGAGAGCTGGCAGCACTCCCGCGGGAGAGCCAGGTGCCTGCCGAGCCAACCTTGGCATCTTTCTGGCTTGCTGCACTGCTGAGCAGTTGGGGATCAGAGTCCCTGCACTGCCTGTTGGAGGCTGGGCTCTGCACAGTGGAAGGAAGGAAGAGGCTAGCCTCTCCTCATGCTTTCACAGAAGGCCTGCAGGCTGGCCCCTCAGCTGGGGCGGGAGGGAGTTTGGGATGAGTCAAAGGAGGAGAGCAGAGGAGATGGGGGTCCTCGCCTCTCTCCTCCAGCCTGGAGCTTTGGGAAGGACGCAGGAGTCTGGAGAGCAGAGCAAGGGAAGGGCTGGGCATGGTGCCTCCCTCTCAGGCAGGGTCTGAGGAGGAGCTGAGGTGACATATGTGAGGTGCTGGCTGGTGGCCTGGCCTGTGGAGACACATCTGCGTCCTGGCCCCTCATTCGTACATGGCACTGTGGGAAGCAGGTGGTCTGAGGAGTGCAGTTATATTTACAGTTTGACCTCTTTAGGCGCCTCAGAGGATAGATTTCCATTTTAGAACTTTTCACACCTTAAGGTTCTCACTACATATATAATCATGAAGGTTTTTCTTTTGGTTACCCAAAAACCGCATCAGAATCCAACCTATGGTTTAAACCGCTGACACTTTTTTATTTTTACTAACTCAACATTTAGAACATTTTTTAAAAAAATTCCACCATTGTTTTATTTTATCTATGTATGTGTCCATTTATTGGGGTGCCAGAGATGGGACCCAGGGCCTCACACGTGCAAGACGGAGTCACGTCCCCTGGCATCAAGGAGGGGCCTCAGGTGAGCAAACAAGTAAACAGCGTCCTAGCAGATAAAGCATCTTCTTTTGTTTGTTTGGGTTTGGGAGGCACATCTAGAGTTTCCCAGGGCCTACTCCCTGCTATGCTCAGGAGGCCATGCAGTACCAGGCATTAAGCTCAGTTCTCCTGCATGCAGAGTACTTGCTCCAGCACATTGGGTTATACCCCTCTCCAGAGAAGAAAAATCTAGGATTAAACCCTGGCCAGCTGTGTGTAAGGCAAGTGCCTTTCCCGCTGGCCCCTTTTCACTCTGGCCCCCTCTTTCCCATTTTTATCCTGCAGGTCTGTTTTTAGCTTCTGCTTGCACTGGGCATTGTGCTTGGTCAGGGCTGGCTCCTGAAATCACGAGGCTGGCCCCTGGGTCTGGCTGACCTTTATTAGAGCTGGCTATGGCAGGTTTGGGAGCGTGAGATAGTTGAGCTGCCTCAAGCTGTCTATGGCCTGCCAGTAAACTGAGCCCTGGGCTGGTCTGAGGAGCCAGGGTTCAGCTGGCAGGTGCGAGCAGTTTCTTTTTATTATAAAGGGGGTGCTAAGGAGACTAGTGCCTTCTCCCTCTGTCCATCTGCCAGGCCTTGGACATCCCATGCCACCCCTTAGCAGCCTTCTGCTCACAGGGGACCCCGGCCTCCACCACAGCTTTGTGTTTACTGGCGTCTCCCTGGCCCTAGCGCCTTCCTTCCCATCCCTTCTACTCCTCTCCAGAGACCCAGATCAGCAACTCTTAACTCCCACCCTTGATTGTGTTCATCGTTGACTATACTGTAGGATTTGGTTTGTTTTGGTTTATTTGTTTTGGTTTGGGGTAGGGGGTTGTGAGCCACACCTTGTTGTGTTCGGAGGCTACTCCCAAGCTCTATACTTAGGGGTCACTCCCAGTTGCGCTTTGGGGACCATAAGGTGCTGGGACTAGAACTGGGGGAACCAGTTCATATTAACTCTCCAGCCCTCTTTTTGTTCTTACTGCTGTAGAACCAGGCATTTGTCTCACCCTCTGAGGGCTCTCAGGGGATCGACTGATAATCCAGGCAAGCACCCCAGGCCTGGCCTTCGGCTTTTGCTCTCCGCCTCTCAGCTCTAAGGCTCTGACGGGAGCAAGCAACTTCCCAACAACCTGTCTGTTGGCAAGCCAAGAACTGTAGCAAGCAGAGGGAAGGAAAGTGTGGTGCAGGCTGCAGTCAAGGCCAAAGCACCAGAAGCCAGGGCCTAACTGACAATTTCTAACACAGAGACACCAATGCGCCTTACACTGCAATCCTAAACCCACAGCCACACAGCCACATGAGCATCCCTGTGACCCTGTGGAGCGGGCAGGACTAAGTGGTGAGCAGCTCATACCAATAGGAAAGTTAAAAGATAATTCTTTTGCTTATTATTTGGGGGCTACACCTGGCTGTGCTCAAGGCTTATTCCTGGCTCTGCACACAGGGATCACTCCGGGTGGGCTTGAGGGATCATATTTGGTGTCAGGAATCAAACCCTGGTCAGCCGCTTGCAAGGCAAATGTCCTCCCTGCTGCACTATTTCTCTATCCCTTTAAAAAGTAATTTTAAAAACATCCCAAAATAGCCTTTTTCAAATATTTTTCTATGTACATTAGTCAGGGTCCCTCTATGAATGTGTTTTTTTTAAAAAACAAACAAACAAACATTCAATCTATCCCCACAGTGCTACTTGGCACAGCAGGATCACATTTGCGTTTCTGGGGTTGAACTGAACAGAATTCCTCTGCCTGGTTATTGTTTAGGGTATCTGAGATTTGTGAGGGGTTTGTAAGTCCAAAAATGGTGTCTGCATGCAGGGAAGCAGCAAACCAGACAGCGCTGATCCCTGGCAACATCTCCAAAGCAGCAAAGGACTCTCCAGCTCTTTCTGGGGATGCTTTGGGTCCCAGATCTACATCCTACTCTCCCTCCCTTGCCCATGCCTGGCTCTTTGTAAGGCCAGAGTGTCAAGCAGATCCCCGGTCCAAGAAAAACAACCCTCCTGTGTCTCACCCCCTTGAAGAAAAATCTCTGTACCTCTCCTCATTGGAATGCAGCTAAATCTAGCCAGAGGCAGTGTTAGCCATGGAGGGGAGAAAACACGGCACTCCCTTCCACTTGTGGGGCCCCCTCTTTGCTCCCAGGCACAGAATGGACATTTAACTGGGGCAGTCTCGGAAAACGTGTCCACCTCTGGTTTGCTCTCTGCTACTGAGGCGCCACCCATCCACCAAAAATACCTTTTATTTCAGTCCAGGAGAGAGAGAGAAAGAGAGAGACAGAGAGACAGAGAGACAGAGAGACAGAGAGACACAGACAGAGATAGACACAGAGAGACAGAGAGACAGAGAGAGAGAGAGAGAGAGAGAGAGAGAGAGAGAGAGAGAGAGAGATATTTCAGGGGGAGGAATCTGGAGGCAGTCGACAACCAGGCAGGGCACAGAAATTCCACCAGATTGTTACCTGATTGAGCTGATTCCAGACAGGAGTGTGGCGAAAGGGAGAGGAAGGGCATGCAGAGCTGGACCCTGGGGTGGGGAGGGTTGGGGGGGAAAGTACCCTTCCTTACTCTTCCTCACCCACCAGTCTGGGGTTCTTGCAGGCGCCACTGACCACAAACGAGCCTCAGAGCCTTACAGCTGCTCCACCCTAGGCCTCCAGCCACTGCAGGTGGTCGCCACGCTCTGAGACGCTCAGCCCACACGTGCAGTAATCAGCTATGAAAGGCAGACTGGTGGCGGACAGTGACGGACAAAGGCCGTCCCTGGCAAAGTGGCCGAGCGTATCCCTGGATACACACCTTGTGAGCTTCTGGTCCACCATACATGCGCACCCTCCAGCCCCCATTGACTTGCTGGAACCCAGGGGTGGGTGGAGACAGGTGGGGCAGCAAGGCCTTGAGTGAAGGACTCTGGGCGTGGGAGGGCTAGGTGATGGTGGGGTGGATCCTTAGGGCCTCAAGGGGGAAGGTAGGAACGGTGGGTGGGGCAGGTCCCCGGGGTGGTGAGGACGTTGGGGGCTGCCAGTCGTGGCGAACAGGGATGGAGAAAATCGACTCGGCAGAGTGAGGGCGTGGCCAGGGGAGCCTGGAGCGTACACGCTCAGAAAGGGGCGCTGGGAGCGGCTGGACAACCAATGGGGCGACATATGGCGGCTGCTGGGGCTACCTGGGCGTGGGAGCTGGGAAGGTCTGCGAGCTGGGTGTGCGGAGCCACCCGCCCTACCTGTCCGGGGAGCTGCCGTCCGGGGCCGCGGGCTCCTCGTCGGGCCGCTGCTCCCTTTCCGGATCCCGGCCGGGCGCCGGATCGCTGCTGCCACTGCTGCAGCTAGCACCATCCATGCCCGTGGGCGGCGCCGCTGTCCGGGCGCTGGTGCTGAAGCCGCGGCGGCGGCGGCGGCGGCGGCGGCGGCGGGGAGCTTTTGCGCATGCGTCTGTGCTAGGCGGGCCCGTCGCTGGGCGGGGCAGGCGAGGAGCTTAGCCAATGGGCGCGTTCCTTGTGGGCGGAGCCAGAAACTTCCCGCGGCGCCGCTGCCCCGCCCTGGAGCCTCAGGGGCTGGTGAGACACGGTGGGTACTGCTGGGCTCTCCGCGCTTTCACAGCTGCTAAGCGGAGGTGCGCATCGCCTACCTGGCAGGAACCGGGCAGCGGGACCCCAGACACCCGCAGAGAACTCAGAACTTGAAGCGCAGCCTTGCATCCAGAAAGGCAGGGAAGCTCGTCCTGCACTTGATTGGACAGGACCCTCGAGGGTGGAGCATCCAGGCCGCTCGAGACCCACATTTTTCCTGGCTCAGCGCTCCCCCACTTTTCTCCAGTGGGGCGAGGCAACCTCCTCAAGTTGGATCTTTCTTCAGGTTCCTCAGGACCCGTGTCTGTCTGTGCTTCTCAGATGTGGTGCCCCAGTTGTTACTCAAGTGCCCAGTATAGTATAAAGCAGAGTTCTCATCCAGAGAACACCCCCGCCCCGTTCTTTTTTCTTAGAGTCACGCACTCCACTTCAGCCTAGAACTGCTCAACAGCCTCCCCAGTCACCTCCTGTTCAGGGTGTGGTTGTGAGGGGGCCAGAGTTGGGGCTGGGTAGCCCTGACTGGAGGTTGTGGTGGCACTAGGATAGATATAGGTGGGCCTGGAAAAGGCCTGAGTTGCGGGGATGTGGGGTGTGGGTGGGCAGAAAGAACTATAGCATGCAAACTGGCTGTATTTCTGTATAGGGAAGGCCAGGCAGAGTGAGAGCTAAGATACACAGGTTTCCTATAACATGTCAGCATCCTCTACAAGTAATGCGCCAGGTATGTCTGTGTGTGTGTGTGTGTGTGTGTGTGTGTGTGTGTGTGTGTGTAAAGGTGGAGGTATGATGGGCCTGCTCTGGTTAGCTTTGGCTTGAGGAGGTAAAAGGCCTGGAAAAATGGGTGTCCACTGTATGAGGTACAGTCAGACATGTGCAGAGAGCACCTTTCTCTTCCCATAGAGCCTTCGGATGCTCCATGCGGATAGCAGAGCTTTAGCTAGTTGGTAGGAAGGAAGGTGATCCTGAAGGGCAGACGGGGAGTGGGAGTCTACACAAGGTTTAGGAGGCTGGAGAGCTTCATGGGTCTGGTTTGTTTGGGGCTACACTTGGCAGTTACTCCTGCCTCTGTACTCGGGGATCACTCCTGATGGGCTTGGGGATCATATGGGGTGCTGGGGATTGAATCACGTGCAAGGTTGGCCACATGCAAGGCAAACACCTTACCCATTGTACTACTGTTATGGCCCCTGAGTTTCATGAATTTTTTTTTCTTGCCTTTTGGGTCACACCAGGTGGTGCTCAGGGGTCACTCCTGGCTCTGCACTCAGAGATGTTCAGGAACTATATAGAATGCTAGGAATAAAACCCAGTTTGGCTGCATGCAAGGCAAATGAGCTACCTGCTATACTATTGTTCCGGCCCTCAAGGATTTTTGAGGTGAAGAATAGATGAAGAAAATCAAGATCCTGGATGAGGCAGAAGAAAGCAGGTCAGATGGAACATGAGGGCACCCCCCTGTCCAAGAGTATGTGAGGTCTGGACATGAGGCCACTCTTAAATCCCTGGGCTGACTGGGGGAGAAAGGGCAGAGGAAAGGAGTGGTGAACTTATAGGACTATGAGCTGTGGGGACCTCCTGAGAACGCTGAGTGGGGTCACCATTTCACAAAGAAAACATCTAGTGCCAGACAGGATGTGATAGAAGAGGGGCTCTTTCAGATAAATATGGCTTCCTGGGGACTGTTTCTCGTCTTGAAGAAGTTTCTGGTTTGAGCATCATCATCACTGAGTACCCACTCTCCCATTATTTTTTTTTAATTTTTATTAGTGAAACACCATGAGGTACAATTGTAGACTTACAAATTTTTGTGCTTGGGTTTCAGTTATACAATGATCGAATACCCATCCCTCCACCAGTGCCCATTCTCCACCACCACTGATCCCAGTATCCCTCCCACCCCCATTCCTCCCCATCCCACCCTGCCTCTGTGGCAGGGCACCTCCTTTTGTTCTCGCTCTCCTTTTGGGTGCTATGGTTTGCAAAAGAGGCATTGCCCACTCACCCATTCTTGTGTCTTCTTTCCTGACACAGATGGGGCAGAGTGGGGTGAGGAGATTACAAAAGGCCCAGAAGTGGCTCTCCTCAGGACAGTGTCCTTGGCCATGGCCAGGGCTCCCCAGGGGCCTGTGGCATGACAACTCCCAGGACTATACCAGAAGCATGCCTGCAGTGACCTTCATGGTGGCCGCATTGTGGGGATGCCTTCCCTCATGGTCACAGAGCAAGAGCAACATCCTCTTAGTAAAAACAAATGGTGGTTTGTTTGAATTTTATAAAATTTCAGAAATTCTTCCCTTGTTCATTGTTAACAACCCCACTGTTCTGTATCTCTTGAGAAATTTGTGAATTTGGGGGTGAGGGCAGCACACAAGAAATTTGGTTTTGATGAACTTCCTCACTGTAGGAATATTTCCTTCAGCCCAGAATTTCTTCTACCATCTTTCCCAGATGAGATTCTGGCAAACATGATGTTACACACACACACACACACACACACACACACACACACACACACACCTGGGTGTGGTGCACTGCTGAAGTCCACTGTTGCAGTCTTTGCCTGCCAGTTGATGGCTCAGAGAAGAGACTGACTTTCCAAGGAAACCTGTGTGTGAAGCTCCATGACAGCCCAGTGAGACCGACCTCTAAGGTGTGCCCAGGATGTGAGCATGTGCTTCCCTCATGCTTTATGAGGGAAGACTTGGGGTTCCTGGCACTAGCTGGGCATCATGAAGGTGAAGGGTTCGAGCCAGAGAAACCAGGGACAGCCTTGGCAAAGCCAAAACACCAAGGCAACAAATGGTGGAGGACAAAGGTTCATCCATTCTGGTTCTTCCCGCTGAGACCCAGTTCCCACTCCCCAGACTTCAGTCTATCTGTAACTGAAAGCAGAAGGAGCTCATCTTCTTTGTTCTCTCACCCAGGAACCCTTGCCAAGTGACTGGAGGTTTTTCAGTCTCAGAACTGCAGACTAACTGTACTCAGAACTGAGGATGGGGACCTGGCGGTTCCAGAAACCCAGTGAGGGGGTGGAGGGTTTAATCAGGAGCAGGAGAGATGCACTGCGACCCACCCAGGAGGCAAGGCCGGGGGTGGGGTGGGGGGAGGTGGCAAGGCTGGTCTGTCTCTGTTTACTTGGCAGAGCGGGGGTCAGGGATGTGCTGGTGTCATGTGTGCAGGAATGTACAGACAACTGTAGCTCAATTATACCCGTGCCTGCTGGGTACAGGCCGAGCTGTGTGTGGCATGTGTCCCTGGCAGGGGGAGTGGGTGAGTGCGAGCCTGTTCTTGAGCAGAGAGGCCTGACCCCAGACCTGGGAAGAAGAGAAAGGAAAGGCTGGATGGCCTCGGTCAGCAGAGGCCGAGGCAGTGATTTAACCCTCTGTCTTGCTGGAACCATTTCTGAGCCCGGAGGCCAGAGCCTTGGAAGTCCCCCAAGTCTGCTTCTGCCTCTAAGGGCCTGAGAAGGCCTAGGTGTGAGCAGGGGAAGGGGAAGGGTGTGGGGAGGGGGGCGTCTGCAGGGCAAAGACTGAGAGAGCTTATCTAGGTTTGGTGACCCTGAAAACATCCGCTGCCCCACCAGCTTCTCTGTAACCCTCTGCGATGGGGTCTGCAGATGGCAGCCAGGGGAGTGGGAGGAGCAGGAAAGGGGAGCAGTGATCCTTCTCCGGGAGAGGTAGCCCATAGCGGCTCTGCCATGAGGCTGAGGTTTGAGACCAGTCCAGCCACGCAGGGAGACCTTGGGGAGTGGGGAAGTGTGGGGGCGGGGCAGGAAGGCCAGCCGTGGATCAGGCCTGGGAGGGGCTCCAGGGAAGGAGGGAGACAGATGGGAAAGCAGGAGAGGTGCAGAGAAGCGGAGCCTGCAAGGGAGGGTGGGGGTGGGAGGGGGTGCGGGCGGAGGCCCAGCCTGCACCCCACTTTTCCTGTGAGGGGAAGAAGTCGATGCTCTCCGAGGGCCTCTGAAGAGGGCTGGAGGCCTGGCAGGCATAGAAGCCTGGGAGGGGGAGAGGAGGAAGCAGCCGAGAATGTTCCTGTCTCCAACTCTAGGGAGAGGAAGAGAAGGAGGCAGCTAGAGCTGCTGCAGGGAGAAAGGCTCCTCCTGGGGCTGACTGTGCCCCTCCCCTGCCTCCCGGATCCCCATCATCCCCCCACTCACTCGGCAGGCCAGATAGAGACTGCTTGCCGTAGGTGCAAAGTTCCTGCAGACCCCATTGGCTTGAGTGGCCAGAGAAGGTCAGTGAGAAAGTGTGGCTGCTCATCGAGCCACTGGCTGCCCTCCCAAGCTGCGGCACAGCTGCCAAGAGAGGAGTTCTGGGCCCCAGATGCCACCCTGAGCGTGACCCCATAAGCCTGGGCGTTGTGTATGAGGTGGGAGAAGACTCTGCCTGTCTCACCCTGAGAGCAAAGCTCGGCTGGGGTGAAGGCTGGGCCGGCTGGAGCACAGTGGGGAAGGCACTGGCCTTGAACACAGCCTTTTCAGGTTCAAACCCTCTGCCTCCCACATGGTCCCCCGGGCTTACCAGGAGCGATCCCTGAGTGCAGAGCCTAGAGTGACTCCTGGGTATTGCCAGGTATGCCCCACTCCAGCCCTCAAAAGGATATTTGAGACTCAGCGGAGCTACGGCTGTTAGAGAGCCGTCTCTCCCTCCCACCCTGCCAGGCCCGTGCATCTGTTTTACCACTGGGCCAGACTGAACTTGTGAAAAGGTGCTCTCTAACCTATAAGGATTAGGACACATGTGACAACCACAAAATATTGCTGCTTTATATATTGGTAGCTCATTACTGGCTTTACATGCTAAGTTTGCTCTCTCTTACCTAGTTCACAGCTGATCTGGTTTTGACCCCCAGCACCTCATAA